TTTTTTGGTTGCAGCCGTCATTGTTGTTTGGCGGGCCCGGGCTGGATTTGAACCAGCTATCTTGGGTGTACGTGGCTGGCGCTTTAGCCACTTGAGCCACAGGCGCCGAGCCAGAATCTGCATTTCTTATGAGCTCAGGACCACCCCTGGGGTGGAACACGCAGTCAGGCCTGGTGGAAGATGAATGGTACCACATAGAGGCAGCTCCCTCCAAGGGCTGAGCTCAGTGACCACAGCAAACTATTGCAGATGCGGAAAACCAGAGACATTGATACCACTCTGCACTGGTGAGCTCCTCACTCCAGACACCCCATGGATGTGGCTGTGTAAATGCCACTGGGGACAGTGTCCTGCCTTCTATTTTATAATCTGGTGGGCATTGTGGCAGGCGCCTGTAGTCCCAGCTACTCAGGAGGCTGAGGCAAGAGAATCGCCTAAGCCCAAGGGCTGGAGGTTGCTGTGAGCTATGATGCCACAGCCCTCTACCCAGGGCAACAGAGTGAGACTCTGTCTCTAAAAACAAAAACGACAACAAAAAAGAATCTGGTCCTCCAGGACAGCCTCATCTGGGACAGGAGATCAGACATTAGAATAATTGTGTAAAGTTATTCATAAAAAGGGCTGCCAAGTGGCTAACTATGACCTTGGTTTCTTAAGAATTTATTAAAGTGTCAAAGCCTTCCAAGTCACTTAATCATTTGCTCACTCATGCAATATTGGAGCATATGTTGGTTACCATTTTCCGTTTAGTTAAATCAGGGACAGTGGTCTCACCAATCACAAACACACCGGACCAAGGTAAATACTCACCGATGACACCTTTGAAGCTGGAAGGATTCGCATCTGTGGAGGAAAAGGACAGCTCGGTCACGACTGGGGGGGAAGGCACTAGTTCCTTATGAGTGGGAGAAATCACGGACACCTGGGTCCCATCTTAGCAGCCTGGGAGACTTCCAGCAGGCATAAACAGACTTATTTTAGCACAGAATAGGTGGAGTAACTCACTGAGGTGCTGGGTCACACTTAAGAATCAGGCTGGCACAGTGGCTCATGCCTGTGACCCCAGCACTCTGGGAAGAGAGGTGGGAGGATCTCTTCAGACCAGGAGTTTGGGACCAGCCTGAGCAAGACACCCTGTCACTACTAAAAATAAAAAAAAATTAGCCAGGTGTTGTGGCAGGCACCTGTAGTCTCAGCTTCTCAGGAGGCTGAGGCAGGAGGATCGCTTGAGCCCTGGAGTTTGTGGTTGTAGTGACCTGTGACATTGCCACCACATTCTAGCTTGGGTGACAGAGTAAGACTGTCTCAAAAAAAAAAACCCACAAAAAAAATTGGATCTGCCCTAGGGAAGGTCTAGATTGCCACTGCAGACTGCAGGGCACTCCGGTTCGCTGTACCAGGGAGAACACGGACGGTGCCCAGAGTCTGGGCACAGCCTCTGGCATGAGGTCACATCTGGAGGCTCACATCTGGGGTGTGGGCTTTCTTTTCTTGCTACCCGCTGGAGTAAGAGACGTGGCGAGGCACAGAGAGAGCAGCGAGGAGGCTGGACAAGGCCAGTCCTGACTAGGGGGTGACACTGCCAGCCTGCAGCTGGCACAGCCATTTTGCACCGCAGCTCGGCCCAGACCTGGGGAGTGGCCTTCCCTGGTGCAGGGTGAGTGCTGACCTGACGGCTGGTGGGAGGCAGAGGGTGTGCCTTCTGGGGTTCCAGCAGTTGTCTGCGAGGGAGGCTGGGGGGACGTGTGCCTGCCCGTGCCTGTGGGTCCTGCGGAAGGAGGTTTGGAGGGGGTGCCCGGTGCCACAGCCGTCTCTGCACCCACTGTGGCCTCTGGCCTGGGAGAGGAAGCTGCGGGCTCTGTAGGGAATTCCAAGACGCAAGAACATAAATGTTTGGCTTGTCTCTTCTCCACTCCTGCAGAGGGAGGGCGCAGGAGCCGGTCCAGTGAGTCCACCCTGGCCAGCCCTCCCCCAGCAAACTGCTGCCTTAAAAGGGTGAGACATCCACCCATCTGGAGTGGTCACAGCACTGATGACAGCCCTTCAGAACACAGAGCCCCCAATTCCCAGCCAGATGGTGATGTCAGGACACACCCAGACCAGACTGGGAGGCGGTACTCCAGGAAGGCCAGCTGAGTGGCAGAGTGATGGCAACATGTGTGCCTGGCTTGGGGACAGGAGACTCAGAGCCTGGGAAAGCCACAGATCTGGCGACATGGCACGAAAACCGAGAGCTAACAAGGTGTCATGGAAGCAAGGCGTATTATCCCAGGATATTCAGCATCCCAGGTTTCAAATTTTCTTAACATTGAGAAGGTGCTGAGGAAAGTGGGATAGAAGATTACCTAAGACTCTGCCAAACTATAGGACGTTGGCAGCTTTAGGCAATGCTTCTAGGACAGAGTGGTCACCATGAATTTGCTAGTGTGCTGGACTGGTGAGGATAGCTCTGAGGGCCTTCACATTCTGCAGACAGAAGACACTTCTCAAGGGTGCTTCTAGGAAGTGCCTGGGAAGGTGGGGACAAAGCCTCCCTCTGGAGCAAAGAGCAGCGTTGGTTACTGCCCAGGATAAAACACTCTGGTGCCTGGAGCCCAGGTTCCCTCTCCTGCAATGCAGCCACTGGGCGGTCAGGCATCTGTCCAGGCCCAGTCGCGTTGCCCTTGCAGTCTTGGGGCTGAGGGACTTGACATAAACACACTGATGCCTGAAACTGTGGTGGGTTGACAGGAAGGTCAGATCAAAGTTTAGATCACTTCTGGTTCTTCCTGAGGGTAAGAGTCTATAACTAAATAGGCTCCGATGTATTAACTGATCTTAGGCCACTATTAATTACATTCATATGAAGAGAGCAAATAACTTTGATTTAAAACAAACATTAAGCCACTGGAAATTCTTACCCTTGACTTTAATAAAAAAGGTCATGCCGGTGCCTGCATCTGCAGTGGCACAACCGCAGTGGTCTGTGGGTCTGTGGGATTGGGGGGGCGCGCCTGGGTGGTGGGAGGATTGGGAACAGGAGTCCTCAGAAGTTTCCAACATTCCTACCTTTTCCAGAAGGGGAGGGGGTCTCTGGCTGTGGGGTCACCCCTGCCGTTGCTGTGGAGGGTGGTGGCTTTTTGTGAGCCAGGGAGGGGTCCCCTAGAGAGAGGATAACCACACGGCATTTATGATCCTGAGCGTGGAACCTGGGGCAGCTTTAGAACTAGATACACATAGACCACATCAACATACAAGTTTACAGTGAGAGGTCAGAAGCTTGGGAAATGGCCCACAGCGAATGCTTCCCGACCCAAATGCAAAGACAGACTGAGAACCATTTTTCTAGCGTCTCTAAAGAGACCACAGAAGTTAACTCAAATTTCTTTTACTTTTGGCTGAAATGATATCAACTCAATTTATAATACTGGCTTTTCATGGGAAGATAAACGATCACTCAACTGTTTAGCAGAAAAAAAAATCTCTCAACGCATAAGAGGTTGGGGGGAAAATAAAGGGCATTTTTGGTGGTCAAAGGTGAGGGGAGCCTTTAGACTACTTGAAACCTGCAGAGTGCCCAGGTGCTGGGCTCTAAGACCTGATTCCAGGTTCTCGTCCTCTGCCTCCCTCCTGGCCCTGTGCAGAGCCAACAGCGCGGTGAGCTCTGTGGAGACCTACCCCCCACAGTGGAAAGGGGTCTCAGGCTCCAGCAGGGATCAGGGCGGAGCATAGACACCCCCAGTTCCCACAGGTACTGCCAGCCAGCTGCACCAGCTCCCCCTCACTTGTCCCCACGCCTGGGTGGGAGCTGCTTCCTCAGCCCAGCGACTCCACCAAGCCAGAAGAGGGAGAACAGGGATAGGTGCGCCAGAGTGGGCCAGAGTGAGCCAGAGTGGGCCAGAGTGGGCCAGAGTGAGCCAGAGTGGGCCAGAGTGGGCCAGAGTGGGCCAGAGTGGGCCAGA